CGCAGTGGCTGTAATTAACAGATGACAAAGGACGCTCGTCCCAGCAGGATTATCCTTGAAACTACCGCACCCATAGTCATTCGAGCATACATAGATGCATATATGTTGACCAGAAGGGAAAACTCGATGACACTTGCGAATATTATTTATTCAGGCAAATTGCTGCTTACGAGCGTTTCATTCGCCAGCATTTTACATTCGATTTCCATTATGCCATTTGTTGCTCGAAAGGCTTTGTCAGCCTGATTTGGTTTCCGATTTCCGGTCGAGAACGAGGACCCAAAACTGTTAATACACACACACACACACACACACACACACACACACACCCATAACAATGCCTCCTTTGTTGGCCATTTTGGGCCTACAACGGCAAGGACGTCCCCTCAAGTGCCGGCAATTATTTACAACAATCCGAGAATGGCTCTCCGAAAGGATCAAAGGAGGAGGTGCCGCCTCCTTCGCCCGGGACACTGAAGACATGCTATCGATATACACTCGGAAGGAAATTCATTTGCGAAACCCAGTCCTCCCAGTGCTAAGTAAAATATAATATTCGTTTACTCAAATTCGAATTAGGCACTCTTAATTAAACAATATATTTTCTATGAAGAGAACGCGATTTGTAGTCTGATTTATAAATACAACGTCTTAAAAATCTTTCACTTCTAAGGAACGTAAGAAAAACATCTTCAAATGTTTGGCAAATTAGAGAAATTGATCCGTTTGAGCAGTTTGGACCAGGGAAATTTGAATGCCACTTTTATGCCCAGTGTACTGTGCGTGTATGCCTTGGATCCTGTGAAATAGTTTAACATTCTGGGGATTTTCTCCGTATTTTCAGAATCGTTGCCCAGCATCTCAGCCATACGGCTTGTTGGCGACGTTTCATTAAGCGAGCGGAAAATGACGCATGCTCCGGCTCATTCGGGCACGCTCCGCTTCACAGGACATTCGTGGTTATCCTTTATTGTCTGAGTGGCAGCGTGGCAATCTGGCGATACGATGGCGGTGTGGCAATGGGCAATGGGTCCTCGGAGATGCGCCACTCAAGCCCAGTTTCCGTTTCAAGGCAAACGTTTTCATCCGAACCAGTCTGCTGGCGCCCAGCGCAGAACAAAGCGACGGAAAAGCGCTTGACGTCCATTTGCTAAATAAATTTGATAAACAAGGAGCGGCCCTCGGCACATACAGAAATACACTCGAATGAAAACCACCCATATTCCAGCGCTATTCTATCGGCAAGTCTTTCAAAAATAAGAGCCATATTTATTGCGGCACACGAAAAGATCTTTCATCCGTAGTTTAGCAATTTGAGGAATTATTGCTTGTTGTCAATTGGGCAATTACCCAAACTTGCCACGTTTTTTAGTGACAAAAAATGACACATTTTCGCCGAGCGACCTGACATGATGCATCCCCCAATTGGGAAAAAGTGGGTGTCGCAGCGCCTCGGGAGGTGGAGCTCGGAGCTCTAGCATTCAATCTGCTGAAAACACGAGGCCAGAAAAACCAAAATAAAAAAGCAGGAACATTTCAGACTGTGCATCCGCTTTGCACTCGAGCGGGAATATTAAATTCTTGATGCTATTACTGGCTTGTTGATCCACATCATGCTAATTAGCCCTAACTTTTTGATGTCGCAGTTGGCGGGGTTAAGGATAATGCCAACTCCAAGCCCCTCGGACATTATCGGGTTTCTGGTTTTTGAGAACGCTAATTGAGGGGTGAACGTAATTTATACGCCATTTCGAAAATGAAATATTGAACGACGTCATCGAGGGATTGGAAACGAACCAAGAGGGACTTTATATGACAGCCTTAATTCGCTCTATAACTTTCGCTTTTTATCTTGACAAGTTTAATGTGAAACTTTCTTTGAACAATCTCGTTTGTAAAATTGTTTCAATTCGATTAGTTAAAAAAAGCGTATTTTGTTTTAAGACTTGAAAGTTTACTCGCTTGGTAATAATTGTTTGGATGATTTGTGTGATTTGCTCAAGCTAGAAAGTCTTGTACCTAGAATAGAATGCTAAAGTGGAGTTTCCCGACTATCAGATATCCGTTACTCAGCTAGTGGAAGTGCGAACGAGAAATCCTTCATTTTGCGGAATAAGGGGTATAAAAAGTAAGCCGAGAATTTCGTTATTATAATCGAAAAGAAGTAAACAGTTCCCAGCACTCAAAGAGGAAAATAAATTGGTTTTCGTATGAGTTCTCCGAAAACTATGAATAAAATTGCATTCCTGTGTGATCTAGATGTGGGTTTACCATTCTCAATTAAAATTCGAGTCTGGATGAATTCCCATGGATCTATTACTACAGTACTGTATCTCAATTTATAAAATTTAATTAATCTTGCGGATTTATCCAGTCATGGCCAGAAGCCGCCCGACAGATATGCAGCTCCGGCAGGCGACGCCGCACAATCAGTGACCGTTGTCCAGTATTCGACTGGCCGCACCCCTCTCACCTGGCGGAGTCCTCGAAAGGACGAGTGAGCCTGCATCGCCAGCCGCCGCGCCTAGGACACAAATCAAATTAAGGACGGACAGACCGGACCGCGCCAAAAAAACAACGCACACTGGGAGAAAATGGGGCTGAGGGTCTTTTCAATACAGTAATAAATAATTGAATGTTATTGAAAGAATAATCAAGACAAATTGTTACTGCAAAAGTGCAGTTCTTTCTCAGCCTACAATTATGGCCAATTTTATTTCGTAAGCTTCAGGCTTTTGATTAATTGCATTGTGAAAATTTAATACTATAACGATTTATTTGATATAAACACATGCCTAATCAATTCCAGGCTTCATTTGGATCCAACTGACACAGTATATGGATAGTCTATTGATTTGTCTCAGTGCATCAAAGCAAACCACACTAAACCGGACCGGCAGTAATTACGGCAGAGTGGCGGGCGGTGGGTGGTCGCTGCCAAGTGGGTGGTGAGTGGGTGGTGTGTGGGTGGTGTGTGGGTGGTGAGTGGGTGGCGGGCGATGACCACCCAGCAGTAGTGCATAAATCACTTCGCATTCAGCGAACACGAAATCTATGCCCCTGACGCGCCCATCGAGGGCCAGCTGGTGATTTATATTGATTAAGACTAGATTTCAATTCCAGCCGAAGCCATTATAAATGGAAGATAATCGTCGAGTTTTTCCCCGAAAGCGAGCAACCAAAAAGAAATACAAACGAAAACGTGCGAATGGACTGAATGACTTTCCTCGAGCGGTCTTTCATAACTAAATGAGTTTGCACTTTCCTTACGGACCAATACCTGGATTGACTTTAAATGAAAGTCCTGGGATTCATTAATTTTCTCGTTCATTTGCATAATTTCCTCAACCAACTCGATAATGTTTCTCGCTTTGTTTGTACTTCTTGCTAAATCTAACAATTGCTAACATGACCATTAAAAGTGAACTATTTTACCACACGATGGGCTTTTAAATACCCGCATTTCTTTGTAAGCCAAGAATTAAGTGTTTTGTCGTTTATCGTAAATCAAATGTAACACATTCATTGAATGCCTATTTTAAGTCAAAAGTTAGGAAAGGGAAATACATTTTTGAATTACTATTTTCCTCGAAATGTAATAAACTTTTATTGAGCAAAGTTTTGGCTAAAATGCGGTCACATTGCCTTTGCTGTTTATTCGGCGGGATAAAAGTGAGCAATCAGAAAACCACCGGAAAATCCATCCTGCTGCTTGTTTGTAATTCGACCAGCCAGGAGTTTTCCACTTGGCTCTGTCCTATGTTTTCCCATCGCATCCGGGAAAAGCGTTCATTCGGTTTTCACCGTGTTGTTGGCTTCCCTCCACTTCTCTATATATCCGACTGGGACAACGGCTCTGAATCCGGATCCGGATCCGGCTGTGAGTTGTGAGTTGTGAGTTGTGGGCCTTGTGCGGTTCGTTTTGTGGATTTGTTTTCGGTTTAATTAATTTTAAAATGGACTTCTACCTTGGCGCTAATTGCACTGACTTTGATTTATGTGTTCAGATAATGATCAAATTGGTTTTCTGGGTAGCCACTTCCCCATCTGCCCTCCTGCCCACCTGTCCACCACTTCACGGGCCACCTGTCGTTGTCTGTTTGGTGTCCCTGCGAAAGATGGGCCAGGAGCATTCCAAGCAGATTAATTCAAGAAATAGCTCGGAAGTGGCTAGCCCTAAACGGCAGAAGGGTCCCTTTTTTAAGTCCATAGTAGTAAAGTAGTGAAGGTCGCAAGGCAGCGGGCGTATTTTCAGGTTTTTCTTTTCATTAAGCTTTTCAATGGTTAAATCACTGCAGCTAATTTCAAGTGGAATCTTGGGTTAGTTTTCCAATCGATTTCACTCTTCTTCAATTGGTTTAAGAAAATACATTTCCCCCATAGCAATATGTCCAAGTATGTTCTTTCGTTCTTTAGGTTCGATTGGGTTTATTGCCAAAATATATTTTATGCTGCAGTGGCGCAGCATTTCATGTTTGCGCATTTTAGTCAATTTATTGCTATTGAGTTTTCTTTATCGAGTTTTTCAGTTTCCCAATTGAGACTCATAAACTTTGTGGCATGTTAAACTTTAAGGTCTTCCTACGTGGAAATTGAAAGTATAGCATGAGATGAAAATGGCTAAGATAACTGGCCCGAAATAAAACTGGAATCATGAGCAGCGAGAAATATAATAACATTTATTTAGCCTAATTAAACATGAAAATTGCCTTTGAATGCATATTTTTACCAAGTCATTGGTTTAGTCTCTTTACTTCTCATTTCGCAGAAATGCGGTGCATTCATTGAAGTTTTGCCAGACCCTGAACTTTTTATATTTATTTTTCTGCCCAAAATGGAAGCAAAAAGCAATAATTTTTACCCCAAAGAGGCCGACTGGAAAATGTTCAAAAGCGTTTGCAGTTTCCGGTGCAAAGTTTGCATCGAGTTTTCTACGTTATCTTAAGGAAAATGTTCCGTCTCGTAAATAACCAGATAATTTGTCAAGGTCTTAAACTTACATTTGAAGGAGGTGTGTCCTTTTAAAGCAGAATGGTGTAATTACCTGAAAAATAAGAAAGTTTAGCATAAGTAAAACGATTATTTATACTTATACTTAAATTAAAGTAACCAGACATTGCATTAATCGAATAAATATTCTTTAGAGCCAGCTAAATAATTCCTCTATTATTTAGCGCTGTCAAAGTTCCAACAAAAAGATGCACCATTTTATAAATTAACATTATCATAATCTATGGCCTTGAGCAGCCATAGATTTAAGGTGTCACATGTGTTTCAAAATAGCTAGGAATTCCGCCCATTCCTGCTCCCACAAATTCCTGTTATGTTTTGTTTATGAAAAATTCCCGACAACGACCCAAAAGTATGCGGCAATAATTTTCACATTAAAATTGATTTATGACGCACCACGGCACACACATGCCACACAATACACGCCAAACACCAAACACACCGAATATTCAGCATTCGACAAGTCTTGGAGCTATTTGTGCTGGCTCCCACATCCGGCCAACCAACCGGCAGCGGATGACCAAACAAACCGTGGAATGGAATTGGCTTGCAGCCTCAGCGAGAGCCCAGCTGCCATAAATCATTTTCCGTGGCCACTTCTTCTTTGTCGGATGATTCCTTGGCAATAGCAGGAGCTGGAGCTCAGTGTCTTCCCATTCCCACCTGACTTTGCACCTTTTTCGGAGGACGTCACGAGTACCTAGCACGGACGTCATCGGAGCCCAGTCCCAGTGGCTACACTCAAAAATAAATATGCTATCTTTTTTGCAGAAGGATCTTTTCGATAAAATAAAAAGGGAATTTAAAAAGCAATACTAAATAAATAAGTTAACATCATTTTACACATACAGGTGATCTTTGTTCTTAAGCAAACTGCAGCCTATTTAAATGTAACTCATGAATTACAACAAGAGAATATATTTACATTCCTTAAGTACCAAGAAACCTACTGCAGACACTTGCAGGTCTTTTCAGTACATCATTTTTCCCAGTGCACGGCTGTCCAGCACGAATCTCGCTCATAAACGAAATTTATGAGCATTTAAATGTTTCAGCGGCGGACGGGGAATAGCACATATGGGCTGGCTAGGTAATGAATATTACAGGAGGAGACGAGGAGACTAGGAGCTGGAGGAGCTGGAGGAGCAGCAGCCGGCATCGATGCCGTGTGCCGAAAAGTATGTTGCATAAGCCAAAATTAGTTTATGCATATTTGAAGGCTCCGAAGAGGGCCAAAAAGCTGGCACAGGAGCTGAGGGCGAACGGGGGGCCATGGCCGCCAGAAGCACCCGCTTTTGTGCTTCCAATAAGGAGAACATGCTCCACCATGATTACATTTATCTAGTACTTTCTGCGCCCAAAAGCATGTTAAGCATTACAAATTTACAAATCTCTGTCGCAGAGAAATAAACGCCGCGAGCTATTTCTTGTGGGGACAAACATTAATCCGCAGCTTGGAGGAGTGGAGGAGATAGCATTCATGGGAGATAGAATTTAATACTTTACAAGGCACCGAAAAAACGTAAGATCTTAAATTCGGATAAGGAGAAAAGCTTAGGATACTCTATTCAAGAACTCAGTCAATTGCGAACAGTCGAGGGGCGAAGTCTGTGATTATGATTTAGCCAATTATTAGAAGCAGGTTTCTTAAAGCGAAGTATTTTATAAAATTATATCACACATTTCCTATAAAAACTAAAATATAACACGCCATTCTATGCAGCAACTTAAAGGATATAGCACTTAAAGTCCTTTGTTTAGACTTTCATTTATCACACATATCTCATACATACATATATACATATGTTCGATGTAATTTCATTACCATGTGCTTGTAAATTGCACATTTACTAAATGTTGATGCTGCTTAAAAGTCAACGTAGAGCTACAACGTTCATTAATAGTGAATGACATTAAATTAAATGAATTCATTGAATTTTTATGGCCAGATCCCCACCTCCGCTGCTCATTTGACCATTAAAATAGAGTGCAAGTTATTCTGCGGAAAGATAACGCGTTTCCGTATCGAAATGTAAACAAACAAATGCCCTGTTTTCATTAAAGTCCTCCCTGTTTAAGCTGACTAAAATGTTGGAGCTCGTCCTTTTTTATCTATTCAATGACCTTTTAAAGACATCAAAGCCAACGTCAGAATCAAGGACAGTAGTTGAAAAGCTTCAAGCAAGGATAAGTGACATATCTAACATTGATGTCCTACAGTGCGGTTCAGAACTATAGGGGTTTTTATAAAATAAATTATATATGGTATGAATTGGTTGCCAGGTATGGGGAATATTTGAATTTTACTCTATAGCAAAAAGCCGCAATTTGCAACGATCAAAAATCTAGAGCTTAGTGGCCATAAAAAAAATTATGCTCTTTATTTTGGGAGACCGCCCTCAGTCGTATAGGCAAATTCTGTGGACACCAGAGACACTTAGTTGCGAAACGCGCTGTATGCCAAATCGCTCTGGTAACGAATCCGATGCTTGCAAACAAACAATCATGTGCACAAGCTCTTGTTTACCGTGGATGCATCCTGCAAAGCGAGTGTACATATTTCAATTGATTTGGTATTGAACCACGGAGGCTTTACTTTATTCTGTCACATAACTCCTGAATTCTTGTTTACTCTGTTTTTGTTTTCATTTTTCGCACCGAAATTGCAGCACAAACACAGAACGGATCGAAGGCGCTGAAACCGCGGTGGCAGCGCGGCAAAAATCGCGAACGCGAGCAAAACTGGTGTCAAAGGTCGGCGGTCGGCGCTCCGCGGTCCGATTTTGGGTCATCCGCACTGTGGGACGGCTGCCGACGAACTGAGGCGACGGCACGGCCATCCGCTCGTTTAAAGGACCCCGAAGACCCCGAAGGCAGCGGAGAACTACTGGCGAGGCACTCGCCTGATAAGGATAGCGACACGAAACTGGGGTTCGGCAGTCGGGCTGGATAAACAAGGCGGCCGTGTAATATGCCTAGTCCCACGAAAAGGTCTATGACTGTATTGCCACAGTTGTGTTTCGTAAAGTGGAGCTAGCAACTTAAAATGGATGCATCCAAATAGAACTTTTATGTCCTTTAATGTTAGATTCAAGTTCTACGTGACTGTAATCTAACAGATCGGATGTATTTGAAACATATTTGTCGAATAATAATAAATAATTTTAATATTTTTAATCAATAAATAATATTTGATTTATTAATAATAATTCGTACTCTTTAAAATGTATGCCTTGGTAACTTCATCCACTGCCATTTTAAAACCACTTAAATGTATAGGTCGAATTCGATTTTTTACTAACACCGCTAACTTATTATCTTAACCTCGTCTGTAAGTTGCTGCGTCTACGATTCTATGAATATGAATACAAGCGTTTGGCAAATGTCATAAAATGCTGGTCAAATACATTTTTTTCAATTTCAGAGTTGACAGTAAATATTGGGGGTTCATTGGGACATGCTGTTCCTTAAATTTCATTTAGATTAATTGAAACTCAAGTGGTAAAAAACTCATAAATCGCTTTAAGCATATATGTATGTACATATGTAAGTGTACCGCAATATTTAAAGTGGCGAAAACTTTTCACTTGTGATTGTGTGAATCTCTCTTACTCTCACTTTTACCTCTCTCTCGAGAGCTTGGTGCGCAAAAGTAAACAAACGCAACTTTCATTCATAAATAGCAACAACGCAGCCGGCGAAAACGAGGAAGAGGCAAAATTGAATCAAACTGATAATCAAAACAAAACCGAAAAGCTCCACACTGCATGTGCTCTTTGTAATTTTCTGACTCACTTTTCGGCTGTCTGGCGAATTAATTTAAATCCGCCCACTAAGATCGAACTGAAATCTCGCTACCAAATCGCTGTCACACCTCAATGACGCCAGGCAGTCCAAGTAAGGCAGGTAAGTGCTCCCCAAAAGGTGTGCAAGTGGTCATAAGTTACTTACAGCTGTGTTTGTATCTGAGAAATACTCTCCGTTGTAGACTTTACAGTGCTGTAATGTAATGCCCTCCAACGTAAAGCGTCGCTGTAGCAGTCTGGCGTCTACAACACCCGGCGAAAGTGCGCTTCAGTTAAATTTCAAGGCAGTGTCTGCAGTCTACGTTTGTTTTCAACAAAAGAAATTAAAACCCTTGAGTATATATGACCCATCCGTACATATGTGTACATATATTGAATTTCAATTGGTTTCAAACTACTGAAGCTTTTTCCTTATTGAATAAGGGTACAATCGATCTTTTATAGTTTTACATATAGCTGGGAAGAAGTCCCAAAATACATATAAAAGCAAGAAAACATGTACTAGCATTTGATTTGAATCACCTTTTCCACTTTATATTTTGCATATGTGTATGTATGTATGTATGTCATATATTCTTGAATATACATATTTCAATCACTTTCATATGGCGACGCTTGAAGGCACACAAAAGCTGGCGGCTACGGGCCGACTCTCTCCGCTCTTCATTGTCGATTTACGAAGAGGCCTCCACACGCGAACTGCACTAGTGTTGGTGGAAGTTGCATGCCGGTTTTTGGTGTTCTGACGCCGGTTTTTTCGCTGCCTCTGTGAGTGATTCATCGCAGCTTTCCAGAGGAGACAATTTCCAAATTTAACTACGCTTTCTGGGACTCCACATGGGGATTCGAAAATCGGGAATGGATTGGACGGTTCGCAGTGGTATTTGCAGGGGAATGGAATTCCTTTGCTAATTCAGGCACCAGACAACTTGCAAAGCAGATCTATATGTACCTGGATCAAGAAGTCGGCTCTTGCCAAATATGCACTTTTATATGCCCTTACTTAGTTTTTAATTTGCCAAAACCAAAAACAAAGGTTTGGATGTATTCAAGTGCAGCCCTAAATGTTATTTATTCAATTATTAGTGCCCCTGAATCCGCTGTATAATATTAAAAAAAAATTGCAAATAAAAAAGAATATTTATGCTAAAACAATACCTGAAAAACATATGTATCTTGTAAAGCTTCGACCACTCAATAACTCAATAAAAGTCAAGACCAAAAGAGTTCAACACATTTAGCTTAGAAAGTTATTGTATGTTTTCCGAAATGGAATTTAATATACATATGCACCTCGGCACAGCGTAAATAATACTTCTTTAAATATAGTACTCATAAATAAGTGTGTACGAGTATACTTGCTACTCAATGGCAGGTCGTAAAAAACCTCTTGATGAGGTGTGATGTCGTGTTTGTTTCATGTTCTGAACATATGATTTATACAAGCAAATTATAATGGCGGCTTTGAATACAAAACGTCCAAAATGTCCAAGCTGTCCAATCCCAAACCTTTCAAAACCACATGCAGATATGGAAATATTACCAATTGATCTTAAGAATTTGTTCTTCATGTCCAATTTGTTTGTCCTTTCGTGCATCGTATTCAATCGAATTGTTTGGGCCAACAACGTAGTCTTTCATGTTACATAGTGTTATTTTTGCACAGTAATTCTTAAAACGCACCATTCACCCAAGAATTACATATCGAGGGTATCTCATGCCAACCGCAAGTTGCTTTTTTGCTCCCCAATTGCTTCTATCACTTTGCATTCTGCTATTCCAATTGATTCGAAATCTCGAGCAGGGGCTACAGCCATGACTATTGTGCTAGGTTTGTGATAATTGAAATGCAGATTAGGTTCCAGTGACTTTGTGTGGGGCTTTTCAATCAGTAGCGGGAGAATCAAAGTATTGCAATCAAAGTGGGCTATCGATCATCGAATAGAGCCAAGGTCACTGGGTTTTTAAGCTTTTCAAGGGATGCCTGGGAGCGGGAGGCTTTATCAGTGGGTATGGGTCACCCCGAAAGTATTTCAGAAACTCATTGATGACGCAAGAAACCCCGTTTCCGGTCTCTCATGGCAGTGAGTTTGTTCCCCGTTTTGTGGCTTTGTGGCCGCCATGAATAATGCTTAATAATGCTGCGGAAAGCGGCAACTCGGAAAGCGGAGCACCTGATATCGCGATATCGCGATGTAAGGCGACAGAGTGTGATAAGATACGCGGGTGGGGCTGGCGCATGCGCATCTGGGTTCTATTTGCTTTCGGAACCTCCCCATGGGGAACCGTCAACAAATTAGTAACCCATCTCGAACAGCACCTGTTATCGTGTGCCTATCTTATCTTATCGCTGACCGTGTATGCTCAGATTGCAAAAGCTACAAATTCTGGGCGACACTACGAACTGGGGGCGACAGGTTGCGTTTCAGTGATATTTTCCAGTTTAGTCGGCGAACGGCAACGATACGAACACGAATCATTTCGCTGTGGTTTCCGCGTGAAAATTACAGAAAAGATTGTGAGTGCCCCTTAACTAAGAGAAAACGCTCTGTGGAGGAGGTTTCGTGTAAACTAAAGTATTTGCCCGCATTCCAGCTAAACGATAAGAAAAATCAGCATATCTAGTGCAAAATGGTGTCCGTGGAGACTGTAGGCTCTATTTTCATCAAGGCCCTGAAGCTGGTAAGTTTTGGGTTTCTTTGGCTTGTCTCCTATTGAGCAATAGCCTGGCATAGTCGCAATAACTCGGCTGATAAGCGCGCGCGTTTTATCAGTCCTGGTGTATTAGCAATGTTACTCATACGCCGAGTTGTACGCAAGGCGTGGCCCACAAGTGATTCATTCCCCCTCGAATGTGACCTCATTGCTCTCCTGTGCGCTCCTTTTTCGCAGATCATCAACCTGGTGATCCTCTTCTTGTACCGTTGGGGCGATGGTGGCGAGTTCCTGGGCATTGGCGGCACTTGGAATTTAAACGAGGAGAAGAGCGCCGATGCGGAAATCGTGGCATCTGGCGTCATGGTTGGATTTCTGATATACACTGGATGCCACACCATTGCCTTCGCCTTCGGCACCACCAAGCATAAGGGGTAAGCAATCCGTACCATTATTGACTACTGCATCACTTTGACTCGCATCTTTTCCTTCACAACTGGTTGTTTTGATCATTTTTTAGAGAGCTGTGTGACACCATCATGAACGTGGTTGGCTGCATCATGTGGATCGCTGTGGGCGGAGTGGCCCTCCATTACTGGAAGGGTTACATGTCCGACGAGGGATTCGTGTATGTGAACGCGGAGCGCCAAGTGGGCATTGCCATGGGCTCGCTGTGCGTCATCGAGGGCGCACTGTACCTGCTGGACACCGTGTTGGCTTGCATACACTATTCGAAGGGCGACACCGACTACACGCAGTAGAAACTAAATAGCGGGGATAACAGTCGCAGTCGCCGAATGAACACCATCCACATTTGTCTTTATACATAGATCGATTTAAGTGCAAACTAGTTTTTATCCGCAATCAATTATATACGTTCGTAAGGGTCAATTGTCGCTTTACTATACACTATACACTAACTGTTTACAATTTCCATTCACGATTAACATCCTTAAATTGGCAAATACAAATAGTTAGGACCACGCCACGGATATAGATTTTTGAGCATTTGGGAACAAGGGCATCAAGGGGATACAATAAGAGTCGAATTATTTAGACAATGATGGACTTCACTAGGTCAATGCTAAGTTAAATCAACTAAATGGCATCAGAACCCAGATATCGTGTGCCTCTGTTTTCCCAAGCTTTATTGCAAAGATATATATTTGACATATATTTGATATATAAGACTTTAGAGTCTAGTACTTTCAAAGATTTCCTTTAAATGAACTTGTTTACCAGATGGTTCGCAGAATTATAAATACTCATTTCTTTGCCACGAGAAATGAACAGAGTTTATGAGTTGTTCAACCAAATCAATGACGCTTTCTTCCGTAACGATACGCCTCTCTGGAACCCCGGTAACTGGAACTTCCGGAGT